CCCTATGCTGGGTGTAGAGATTACTTAAAAATAAAATCTTTAGGGGAGCCAGGGTAGCTCAGTCGGTTAAACGTCTGACTCTTGACTGCAGTTCAGTTAATGATCTCACAATTTGGGAGTTCGAGCCCCATGTTGGGCTGACAGCTCACAGACTGGAGCCTGCTTTGGATTCTCTTTCCTCTCTCTCTGTCCCTCCCCTGCTTGTGTCCTCTCTCTCTCTCTCTCTCTCTCAAAAATAAATAAATAAACTTCAAAAAACAAAATAAAATCTTTTTTAATGTTTACTCTTTTATTTTTAATTTTTTTAATGTTTATTTATTTTTGAGAGACAGAGGGAGGCTGAGTGTGAGTGGGGGAAGGGCAGAGAGAGGAAGACACAGAATCTGAAGGGGGCTCCAGGCTCTGAGCTGTCAGCACAGAGCCCAGTGCGGGGCCGGAACCCACGAGCTGCAAGATCATGACCTGCGCCAAAGTCAAATGCTTAACTGACTGAGCCACCTGGGCATCCCTAAAATCAAATCTTAAAAAAATAATTGGAACCGTCCTCTCCCCTAATGTCTGGGTGAGTGTTATACTAGTTACATTATTTCTATAGGGACACACTGCTGTTGACAGTAGTGCAAGGTGGTGGAGAGAATATTGAATCAGAAGGGTCTTGGTTTCAGTTTTGACTCTCGCTAATCACCATCGTAATTTGGGGACAGATAACTTAGATTCTGAGCCTGTTTTTGGCTGTTGGAGCACTCTAAAATTTACCTTTCAAATTACCCAAAAAATATAAGAGCACAAACAAAACAAATTCCGTCAGCTCACCCTCTCTACGGGCTAAGTAAACTGTACTACCTCAATTCTAAGGAGAGAAATAAACAAAATCGCAATGCTTATCCTCAGCACATGGTCTTAATTAAAAATAAAAGTATATACTTCGGTACTGTGTACCTGGATTGTATCCCAAACTCCTAAAAAATGTGTGCAAGTGGGGTCTTGACTGGGTTTTCTCTTCATGATATAGAAGCTGTTGCATGTACAGCTGATCACGTTACTGTCCATTGCTGAAAGGAATGAACTGTAAAGAACAGGCTTTAAAATTCACACATGATCATTTATCCTGTCTACCATGTGCCAGGCACACTATTAAGGGTGGAGGAATCAGAGTAACATAGCTCTGATGCATCAGTGTAGCTGTGGAATATGTAAACTGATACATTAGGAGATACTATGCGAGTGTCCTGCTAATGGTATAAATCAACAGCCATGCCAGAAATCTGCGAGGAAGAAGACTCTCCTGGGGGACCCTGGGAAGACTGCGGTGGAGGTGATGTTTGAGTGGAGTCTTGAGAGATGGGTGGAAATTTGCCAGGTGAAGAAAGAGAAGGGTATTTACGAGCAGTGGGAATAGCATGGCTCGTGAAAGTGCCTGGCACGTTTGAGAAATGGTGAAGAGAGATGTGCAGCTGCTGCCCGATTTGTGTGAGGGGGGGATGTAGATGGATGGATCGCTTGGGGCTAGCCCATGGGAAGCCTTATTATGCCACACTCAGTGGCTAATCACCCCCGCAGGTAATGGGAGGCCACAGAGGTGTAGTGCGGGATGTTGTGTGTTATGCTTTGTTTGTTTTTAAGATTTTATTCTTATTTGTAAAATGTTTTCAAAGTTTATTTTTATTTTTGAGAGAGAAAGACAGAGAGGGAGAACAGGGGGAGGGGCGGAGAGAGACACACACACAGGCTCCGAAGCAGGCTCCAGGATCTGAGCTGTCAGCACAGAGCCCAATGCGGGGCTGGAACCCGCGGACTGCAAGATCATGATCTGAACTGAAGTTGGACCCTCAACTGACGGAGCCACCCAGGTGCCCCAAGATTTTATTTTTTAAGTAATCTCTACCCAGTGTGGGGCTTGAACTTATAACCCTGAGATCAAGAGTTACTCACAACACCGAGTGAGCCAGCCAGGCACCCCATGTATGTGTGCACATAAGGTAATGGGAGGTCATGGGGAGGGAGTGTGTAATGAGGGAGTGAGGGAAAACAGGTTAGGAGACAAATAGGAGGTGGCAGTGGGAAGGGCTGGCTCTGAGACGCATTTCTGAAAGGGAAGCGACAATATGTGGTGAACACTGGATGTGAAGGCCGAGGAAGAGGCAGAAACGGAGTATGACTTTGAAGTTGCTCAATGCAAGGGAGACTGGGTGGCTGGAGGCACTGTTAATTGAGGTGCAAGGGCAAGTAACCAGGTGGATTCTCTACTCCAGGGTCCTCCTGACTGGAGAGTGACCACTAACATTGGCACAGGTGGTCAGGGACCAAACAAGAAGACAGGATGTCAGCACCTGAGAAAGCGGAGGAAGCCTGCCCCAGAATGAAACCACTGACCTTAACTGTCATGCTTTGGGCTCAAGGGAAAACACCCTTTAAAAGCTCTTTAAACAGTTTTGAATGGTTCTCTTCAGCGCCCTTGAAAAGCTGTTCTCTAGGATCTCTCCCGTCTACTGCATACCTCTTTTTTGGTTACACTGTGTATCATCTCCTGTTGAAAGAATGTGGAGTGGGAATGTCAGAGTCAGACTCCCCAGGCAAGTGACCTGAGGCAACGCGCTTAAATGTCCCTGTGTTTCAGAAGGTTTCTAATCTGCCAAAAAAGTTCTTCATGAGGCTATCACAGGAATGATACGAGTTTGAATATAAGAAAGTGTGCCTGGCACCTAGTCAAGTACCTGATAAGTACTTGATGTCATTATTGATAAGTCACGGAATACTCAACTAAAAATGGTAAACGTGTCAGAGACATATTACGGAACAAGATTGGAGGCAGGCAGTTCCAGAGCTGGTGCCGGTGCCTGATAACCAAGTTGTCAAGGACCAGACTCTTCCCAAATCCCACTTTGCCATGCTCAGCTTGTTACTGATTTCTCCCCTCATGGTAGCAGAAAGGCTGCCGTAGCTTCAAGTATCAAGCCCTTACTCAACCAACATTCCAAGCAGGAAACAAGGGGTGGGGGTCGGGGCTTTCTTCTTTGTGCCACCCTCACTTATCAAGGAGGAGAATCTTTCCTGGAAGTCCCCAGTAGGTTTCCTTTCAGCTAGAACCGGGCCACAGGCCCATCCCTAACTTCAAGAGAGCCCGGAAAAGAATCTGACACTTCTAACCTACAACAAATGAATCAAAAGTGGAATTGGGGTTGGCTGTTGCTTGTGGTGCCTGCCACAGTCTGAGAACCAAAGAGTTCCAAGGATGGCTCACTCAGGCCAGGGGTAATGGAGAAACAAGGACATAAATGTATTTATTCAGAGTGAGTCAGCCACAGGGTTCACCTTTCAGAGGCCATCGGCTTTTTTAAAAATACTTTTTTAACCCAAGTGAGTGTCCTATTTTGGTAAAATATGGAGAGAGGACATTTTTGAGTGTCCTTTCTAGTATTCTTGCTTCTTTCTAGGCTGTCACCATCCCTAGGAGGGGGCTCATCATTCAGTCCACCTTGTTTAAAAGGTTGGCCAGGCCATTCACTGTTAAAATTACTTACAAGAAAGCACAGGCCAGCTTCTTCCCCGTCCCGGTCCCTTGCGGCAGTCTCAGCCTCTAAGACAGGTGTCAGGGGCAGGGAGAGCTGTGTGAGAAGAGCTACTCTTTCCTCCTTAGAAGTATGTCTTAAATCCAGCTCTCCCACTGCAATCCACATCCCCACACTCCCTGATGGAATCTGGGCCTCAAGCATCCCTCACCCGGGCTCCCGTTCGGGTTCCTCATTTGCAAGAAAGAAGGTAATGCAGTAAGGTGGACAGAGAGCTACGAAAGAACCAGAAGAAAACTTTTATAAGCACCCATAGAAAGCCTTATTTCCACTATCCAATTCTGTTAACAAAGACGAGGAGAAATTTTGAAATTCCAAGGCACTTAGTTACTAATCTGATTCTGGCCTGCGTGTGGATATTCAATAAATACTTGTTAAATTAAATTGATTCAAGGTTTTATTTATTCAACCTACTTAAAGCTTATGCAAACCCCTTGGAGATTTGTGTCAAGCTGTTAAGTTGGAAAATATATGAAAGGTAGTATTTTCACTAGGCCAGCTTTCCTCATAATGAGCTTTATGAGCTGTGTGTGTGTGTGTGTGTGTGTGTGTGTGTGTGTGTGTCCAGGAGAAGGGAGCAGAAGGAGGAGGTGAGGAAGAACCAGGAGGAAAGCCTGTTTCTGTCATTTCCTGTATTTGTCTTCATTGCTATACTTATAAACCAGCTACTGCCCTCTAGCGTTCACTGTATAAAGCTCCCTCCCAAATTCCGTTTGTATCTTTAAAAACCCTGGTGACTCCAGGAAGGGACAACCTCTTCTTTTGCAGGTAAGCAAACTGAAGTCCAGGGACTGAGGTGTGAAACTGACCCAGGCAGCTTCCTGGATTCTTAGTCACCTCACTGTAACTCGTCCGGCAAACTATTTTTATTAAAGGCATTGCTCAGGCATTTCAATAACTAATCAATAAAAATTACAGCATACTTACCGGATATCTGAAACTGATATAACACTGCACGTTAACCGTACTGGAATTAAAAATAAATGAATTTTTTAAATGCATGTAAAAATTACAGCTTAGTAATCATTTAACAATAATTTTAAGCATTATCTATTATTTCCAGTGTTATTCCACAGAGAGCCAAAATTGACTATTGGCAAAATTTACATAAGGATTTATAAATAACACTGTCATGTTTTAAACTGGGTAAAGTTTAGAAAATTCCTGTATTACTTTTTTTGGGGAGTGGGGGGAATAATTAACTAGAATGGACCCAAAGTAGGTTTGGCTCCTTAACAAAGGTGACTTATCACTGTCTCCATGTAGATTAATCTTCTGCTAGAATTCTCCCAAAGGAACCTCTTTGTTCACTGATGGGAAAAGGGGGAGGGGTATCATTTTAACTTAGAACACATATTTTCGTCATTTAATCATTTTGGTGGTGGAAATAAATGGAAAGTTACCCAGCTGGACATATCACTTACAAGAACATTACTGAGTAACAAAAGATTTATTCAAATATTTAATTGGAAGGAAATACATCTGGAATAAGTTTTATTGGAATTCATATAAAAAGGAGAGTAAATCCATTAGCATTAATATCATAAACAGTTGACTTTATCTGGAAACAGCAATGCTAATGAACTGCAGCCTAGAAGTCCCAGCCACTTCTTGCAAACAGCCAGTCATTTTTGAATTTATATGCCAATTATACTTTATTGCTTTAGGTAGAGCTTTGTTTTCAGCGAATACTTTAGAGATAGATCACTCATATAATCTAATTTGTTTTCTTTCTCCCATTGTCTTAAAAAAAAAAAAAAAAACGAGCAAAAAGAAAGTGGTAGGGGGCATTTGCCTGTCTTCAAGATACTCCTGCTAAGATCAGCGAGTGAGCAGAAAGTCACTGTGTTCGAGCTACCGGGAAGCTCATGGATTAAGAGACATCTAGCTTCCCCCTTAGATGTCAACATAGATCCCATTAATCAAATAATCAAGTCTTGAATAGCGTCTCCTGCGGAGAGATTCTGAGAAGATTCTACCCAAGAGGACAAGCCCTATGGCTAGGAACAGAACGCCAAAGAGCAGGGTTCCGATGAGGAGCCATTTTTCAAAGGGAAGGCTGTGCTGACTTTCTGGAACACTCTTCAGGGAGGAACCACCTGGACTGGCCTTCCCATTCTCCTGGGAAGCAGTCTGGTTCGGAGCAGAAGAATCCACATTTGACAGAAGCAGTGTGGCTGCGGAAGAAGCCACAGTTGACAAAGAAAGCGTGGCAGGGTTATAGGCATCCTCTGTGTTCAAAGACAGGTCGGAAATTTCTCTAACGGGCACTGTTTCTGGGGGGCCTTTCCCATCGGTAGGCGCCTCAAAGATGGTGTTTGAAATTGCTGCTGTGGTAGTCACGCTGGCTTTGGGTGTAACCACAGCACGTGCCAACATTGTGGATGAGAGGCTTGTGGGGGGCTGAGACGTGGCCACAGCGAGGGGCAGAGCTGAGGGGACCCCCTCTGGCTCAGAAGTCACAGAAGGTATCACTGGCGCATTGGCGGTGGGGGGGAACGCAGGCTTTGGGGTGACAGAGGTGATCCGCGGAGAGGAAACAGCCACGGTAGTGGGGAGCGTGGTCACCTTTTCAGGCGGCAGATGAACTCTGTTTTGTTCTGAGGAAAACCGTGAACTCTGAGAATGGCCTTTTTCTTTATAAGCAGAGAACTGTGTACTCGCTTGATCGATCTCGAACAGTTTCTCCGAGTGACGTGAGGATCCCAGCTTCTGCAAAAGGGCCCCTTGCCGTAAGCTGCCAGTGGGCTCTGAAGACCTTGTCACAGGAGGGGGTGTGGGAGTGACTGCCTGCGGAGACAGGCCACGGACCAGGAGAGGACCCTCCTGGGTTGACTCTCGGCTTGGCAAATGAGTTGTGGCCAGAGCTGGAAAGCCTGAAAACGCAGAGAAAATTTAAAGGGAGATTTAAATGTTTCCACGCGAAGGCAGTTTACAAAAGAGACAAACGTATCGGCTTGTTCAGTAACTCCCCAAACTGTTGAAACTTGACATTTCATAGAAACTGGCGCAAAATGGAAAAAAACAAATTGCTAAATCCGAATCTGATGACACCGCCTCTCTACCAGATGCTGTGGCTTGTTTCTGGAGTGGTGGGACAGCGGCGAAACGCGTGGAGGAGGGCCGGGCAAGTGAAGGAAGGGCAGGGAGGAGCAGAGCAAGGGAGCTAAGAGGAGTTCAGGACCCGCCGCAGGAGGCGTAGGGAGATGGGGACGCTGAGGGGGCCGCAGCCAGGGACGGGCTGGGCCAGGGCGACGGGGCTCAAGACGAGGCGCAGAGAGAAGCTCCCCGGGAAGCCTGCAGTCTCTGGGAGAGACTTCATAGCGAGGGCACCCGCGGGCAAGAAAGGCAAGGGGGAGAGGAGGCGAGTCCTGCAACCTGCCTGCAACGGGGGGAAGGTCTGGCTCCTCCCAGGGCACGGAGGCCGAGGCCACAGCAGGGCAGCCGCAGACGGCTGAGGACACTGTCCAGTCCAAAGCCGTTTCAGCGCCACACGCCGGGGAGGGGCGCCGTTCATTTGGGAGATTTCATTGTGACTCTTGAAGACTAAAATTTCAGAGCCAAAGTCTTAGAGTCTGAGGACAATGGGACCACATTTGAAATTAGGATGGCCCCAAGTGCTGACAGAAAGAGCCGAAAATCACCCAGTTCTGAGTGCCGGCTGCGGAGAGACCAGCCTCGCCCACATCCTCCTCACGGGTGACAAAAAAGCTTAGAATTGTGCTCGTAGTGTCACACGCCATTCATCACAGCTCAAACTGGAAAGGCTTGCGGGAGCCATCAGGGCAGGGAAGGATCATGTGAATTGCTCTGTATCACTCTGCTACTTGGCTGATCGTTTGCACTTGGATCTGAACTGCGGAAAACACAACGAAGGAAGAAAAGGAATTTCTTAGCATTTACTGGTTCATGCTTCCCTGTTCGCTTTCTCCCTTTCTTCTTCAACTCCTCTCGACGCGAGGGTCTGAACTAGACCCCGCGCTCTTCTCTGCTAACAAACACGCAGAGGCGACCTCTGATTTGTATGAAACTTGACTACTCTGTAAGCAGCACACCTGGAAGAGGTCCTTTAGAAGTGTCACTCGTTAATCCACCTAGGACAGGGGTCAGCAAATTATGGCCCCAGGGCCAAATGTAGCTTGCCACTTCTCTTCGTGTGACTTGTAAGCTAATTTTTAAATGGCTGACAGAAATAAAAAGGAATACTATTTTGTGACACATGAAAATTATATAAAATTCAAATTTCAGGGTCCATAAGTAAAGCTTTATTGGCATGTAACCATGCTCATTTGTGTATTCATCATCTGTGGGCACTTCACACTGTAAGGACAGAGGGGAGTAGGTACAACAGATTGCATATGTCCCATGAAACCTAAAATACTGGCCTGAAGAGGCGCCTGGGTGTCTCAGTCAGTCAAGCGTCTGACTTCGGCTCAGGTCGCGATCTCACGGGTTCATGAGTTTGAGCCCCGCAATCGGGCTCTTTGCTGACAGCTCAGAGCCTGGAGCCTGCTTCAGATTCCGTGTCTCCCTCTCTCTCTCTGCCCTTCCCCCGCTCACACTCCATCTCTCAAAAATAAACATTAAAAAAAAAAAACTGGCCTAGAAAGCCTAAAATACTTCTCATTTGGCCCTTGACAGAAGAAGTCTGCAGACACCTGGTCTCGCATATAATTTCCTCCAAAATAGAATTTGGACGATTGAAATTCCTCTTTCCGCCAACAATGCTGGAGAAAGTTTCTGCAGCAGGTGAGATCACAATGATAGATATAATATCACCATGAGATAAACCGCATCTATATTTTGAGGCAGCATCAGATATTTTTCAAAAAGAACAGGACTCAACATATTCCATTTTAAAGCTAAAAAAGAAAAAGACTAAGTAAATGCTCCATGATATGTGTGAGCTCAGAACTTAAATAAAGCCATTGACCCAAACAGCTGCTTTCTTTCTCAAGAACGCTAGCTCATAAATAAAGCAAAGCAAGGGCTAGTCCCGTTTCTTGATAAGATTCATCTACTGGCAAAGATCCTAGAAGCACGCACGAGTCCTCCGCACCTGCTCCCTTCACCTCACCCACTGATGTTTGTCATTGGGGTGTGGTGGTGCTTCTCGCTCGGGCAGAGATGAGCCAGCGGGGACTGCAAAACAGCCCTGTGCCCTCAATCCCTCTTTTGAGTTTCATTTTCAAGTGACTTGATGAAATAATAAACTTAGGGACTGACGACTACTTGAAAGCCAGCTGAGCAAACAGACCCCCAATGTATTCTGTCTCTGGATTCCCCTATTCTAGTCCTTGGTAGAAATGACATACTACAAAGCTGAAAAAAAATTAAATAATTCCAAGTTGCAATGGTTTTACGGAATGAACAGAGTACACTGTCATCTTTCAAACTTTTGGTCTGTAAATATTAGCCCATCCGTTATAGGAAATGGAATTCATCTGGAGACAAACCACCAAATAGATATCTATTAACGTCACTCTAAACAGGAAGCAGATAATTTATTTTTGCGGCGACTCTCAATCCGTCAACATGGGCAGATTCATAAAGAGAATTACAAACACAGTTTGTAAACATCCTGCAGATATAAAGCCTGCTGCACACGATGTCCAGAGTCAATCTGCTTTGGGCTGATGGCGCTCCCTGGTGGCTGCCACAGGAACTGTTTGACTCTAATTCGACTATGCGACCTTCACAGTCTCACAGAAAAGATTTACACACATGCCAAGTTGCCTTTTCTCCCACTTCCACTGGAGAGAATCTTTACCTCATAGTCCCTCTTTTACACATGGATTATAAAAGCAACAACATTACAGAAGTATATAGGAATTATAAAACAAATTCAACTACGGTTTTTATCATTATGTCCCAGCAACTATTAACATTTCCGTATGCCTTAAAGTTAAATTTTTTTTCATGTAATTGAAAAACAACGGGGTGTTTTTCACCTGGACTTTTGTTTCTTTCTATACCTCAAACTTATTTTTTTAAGTTTATTTATTATGAGGCAGAGGGTGGGAGAGAGAGAGCAGGGAGAGAGAATCCCAAGCAGGCTCTACACCATCAGCACAGAGCCTGACGTGGTACTCGAACCCGCGAACCACGAGATCCTGACCTGAGCTGAAATCGAGGGTGGGACGCTCAACCTCTTCCAAGTGGATCCATCACATTTTACACCCAGCCATTCTCAGGCAATTGGACATTTATGTTCCTCCTGGTTTTTCACTTTGTAAACTAATTTCACAAAAAAAAAAACATGCTTCAAACCAATAGCTTTTTCTTGTTTTGGTCTTGTTTCTTTAGATGTTATGGACGTAGAATTGCTAGATTAAGTTGCCTATAGTTTCTTTAATATTGTGCTTTAGTCATGAAATAGAGGACAGACACAGGGAAATGCGCTGATAGTGTAAGCAGAGACAGAACGAAGAAGAGGTAGTGACAAGGGGTATCGGGCGGAACGTTACAGTCCAACTTCCACGTGATGGAAGAAGAAACGTTCCGATTAGCATCTTGAGCCCTGACCTCTTTGGAAACTAAGACTGGAATATCCATTTCCTGCCGAATTGCCACCCCTGGCCATCAAACAGGCTCTGCAGTGTTCCAGGTGATCAAAGAGGAACAGCAAGAAGTATCACCGCCACACTGTAGGCGCCAGTATTTTTAGCCTGGATGCTTTACACACAGCGTAAAATGAAGGAGCCACACAGATCTGGGGCAGCCGCCCTGGTCACCAAAGCCCCAAAAGGGCAGGACAAGACAGTGTCCACCATGAAGTTAGGTCTTAAGTGTTTTCAAAAGCCTAATTTGTTCTATGCCTAGTGTTTTTTTAAAAAAATCAGTATCTAAAAAAAAATGTTTCTTTTGAGAGAGCGTGTACGCAAGCAGGGCGATGGGCAGAAAGAGAGGGAAAAAGAGAATCCCAAGCAGGTGATGTGGGGCTCGAACTCATGAGCCACAAGATCATGACCACAGTTTCGGCTCAGGCAGTTTGTGAGTTCAAGCCCCATGTCGCCTGCTTGGGATTCTCTCTCTCCCTCTCTTTCTGCCCTATCATCCCGCCTGCACGCACACTCTCTCTCTCAAAATAAATAGACTTTAAAAAACTTTTTTTAAATAAAAAATTGTAAGTATACAGTTCAGCGGCACTGAGAATATTCACATTTCTCTGCATCACCCTCATCCATCTCCAGAACTTTCTTCATCTAGCAAAACCAAAACTTTTGCACCTTATGCCGGTTTTGTTATAGGCTTTATGTCACTACTTAGGAAGAGTTTACACAAATAATTTGTGCTTCATGCTCCTGCTTTAGGGAATGTTTGGTACCTCTGGCTCATTAACCAAAACTCAGACACAGGCTTACCCAGCAGACAAAGTGTGAGTCTGAGCCCAGGTACCCGGGCATCATTCCCCAAAGTCCCTCACACATAAAACAGTCACAAGGCAGCCCCCTCCCAACCCTAAAACCAGCCTCCTTAATCTTCCCCAGCTCAGCAGTTGGTACCACCATCCATGTGGACACTGAACCCCCAAACCAGGAAAGCGGGACTCAATTCCAATGCTTCTCTTCTCCATGTCGCCACCCCCATCCCACACCATCGGCTCCACCTCCGAAACAGCTGTATGTTTACTACTCTCGACCTCGTTGGCCACCTCCCTGGTCCACAATGTCACGGCCTTTCACTTGGATCTTGCCTCTGCCTCCTACCCGGGCTTCCCACTTCCTCTCTTGCTGCTGCATTGTCGTCCTTCCCCAGTAGAGCACTCACAGTGAGCTTTAGGAAATCGCCTTGAAAACACCATGTTACCTGCCCACTCAGAAATTTCCCATGGCTTCCCATTAGACACCGAAAATAAGAACTTCTTCCCCTGGCATACAAAGTTTTATGTGATCTCCCCACTTTTCATACTTCTTGCATATCAAGGGAAAATCCCAAACTATTCAGGGCTTGATCCCACGAACCATGAGATCGTGACCTGAACCAAAGGCAGACCCTAGGCCAGCTGAGGCACCCAGGTGCCCCTGTATCTCTCTCTTCATATGGTTCACTGTGAGTCAGCCAGCTGAGACCGGTCACTCCCAAACCATTCTGCCTCAGGATATCGAAATAGGCCACTTCCTCTGCCTGTAGGTCTTCCCAGATCGTCTCACATCTGGCTTCTTACTGTTCAGTTCTCAGTTGAGGGGTTACTTCTTCACGGATGCTTCTAATCAAGGGGGTCCACTCAGTGACCATCTATTACATTGTCTTAGCCCAACCGTCAGTGTAAGACTTGTGGACTATATTTTTCTATATTACTTATTTAGGACGGTTATCGTCTCTCCCTCCTAAAACAGAAGCTCCATAGGTAAGAACCTTGTTTTCTATGTTGAGTGTTACATTTTTGTGTTCTTGGGGTGGAAAAAGTATTTGGCACAGATAGGAGATGCTAGATAACATTTGCTGTTTATTGAATAAATAAACAAATAGAATATTATTATAGCCAACGATATAATGACAAAAACTTTCTAAAACTTAAAGAAAAGGACACCTGATACCGAAAACATTTCACCCTGAACATTAACAAGCCGGGGTGCGGTGACTCGGTCAGTTAAGTGGCCAACTCTTGGGTTTGGCTCAGGCCACGATCTCACAGTTTCATGAGTTCAAGCCCCACGTCAGGCTGTGCACTGCAGGTGTGGAGCCTGGTTGGGATTCCCTCACTCTCCCTCTCTCTCCGCCCCTTCCCTGCTCATGCTGTCTGTCTTACTCAAAACTAAATAAATAAATAAATAAGCTTAAAAAAATTAACAAGCCAAAATCTCACCAAGACATACCCAAATTATATTATTTTTGTTTATTTTCTATATTCTGAACAAATATGTTTGGAATGGAGGCTGTATTTCCAGTACCTGGCACAGAATTTGGCACAGGGTAGATGCTTAGTAAGTATTTCTTGAATGAACCTCCTCCCAGGTCTAGGTAATAAAATCCAGTGCATTTGATTTCACATAACATGATTATAAAATAATTAGAACCTAAAGACAAATGTACTAGAATTTTATATACTCACATAATAAAATAAAATTTTAATGTTATTTATTTTTAAGAGCGAGAGAGAGCACAAGTGGGGGAGGGACAGAGAGAGGGGAAGACACAGAATCTGAAGCAGCCTCCCAGCTCTGAGCTGTCAGCACAGAGCCTGACATGGGGCTCGAACCTATGGACCGGACCGTGAGATCATGACCTGAGCCAAAGTTGGACGCTTTACCAACTGAGCCACCCAGGGGCGCCAGGTCTTCTCTTTTAAAACAGTTGCTCTGGACTGTGGAGACCTTATTCCAAGTGCTGCTTACATTGTTCTAAGTAATTTGAAGTGCTTCAAAATGAAAGGTCTGTGTGCCTTCTATCTCAAGAAGGTAGAAACAAAAGCTAAACAACACAAAATACCATCCTTCAGAATCTTTCATTGGAAAAAAGATATTTGGTTGAATAGACTGAATTTTAAATCATGAGAGTTTTCTGGTGTGCCTCTATATTTGTGACTACTTTTGGTAGTTTTACTTAGATTCTTTTATAGAAATTCTTTCATATGAACCATATCCTTAAATAATTCCAATCCCCAAAGAAAAGGAATAAGGTTTTTATTACCTCTAATTATCCTGTAACTCATAAGTCCCTTTGCTGGTTTCAGTGGACAGGCCTCCTCAGTGGGACAGAAAAACAGGTAACAGTTGGGCTGTCTCGTTGTTTTTCGAGTGTCGAAGATCATCAAGTTACACGCTTTGTCTCCTGCAATGAAAGATACCGTAAGCATAACATTGAAATAGGATATTCTAAAGAAGACGGCAATGATTTATTCTGCTGCCCAACACAAATACCTTTGTTCATGTTGTTCATTTGCTTGCTGACCACTAATTCATTTCCTCTTCCTTAGTCACTTAAAGCAATTTGTAAAGACATTGGCTTAAAAAATCTGAATTAAGGTAATTTTGGCAAAACCAACTTTGAATAGTACATTTAATTCTTTTTTAAATGCATTTAATTCTTTAGATAAGCTTTCTATTTGCTCAAATATCCAACAAAATATACACAGAAATACTGACTTTGCGATCTTTATACAACTCACAACTGAGTTGGAACTTAAGAAATGGATCTAACCTAATGATTTCATGTACCTCTCATATTCCGAAGACAAGACACCTATCAAGCCAAGAGTCTGGCTTGCTTGAGTACAGTTCCTAAATTTAGCATCACACCATCATGATCTCCTTCCACAAAGCACCTGAGTAGTGTATGGAATACAAAGTCTAGTTTTTACTTGTATCGATGCCATTCTTCTTTTGATTTTTCTTCTTTGCATTTCTACTCTCCCTTATTTCTGCTTTTCCATTATCTCCTTCCTGACTTTTTACTCTTAACTTCCATTTCTTGCTTCTTTTTCTCTTCCACTTATGCCCAATCAAAATTATTCTTTCTATTCATCATGACCTAGAGTTGGCTTTGGTCTGCATCTGGTACAGTCTCATATCTTGGCCTACAACCCTTGAGGAATCAGTATATCCCTGGTCAGGATGATAATTTTTTTATAATGCTTTTTTATTTGCTTTTGAGACACAGAGAGTGTGTGAGCAGGCAAAGGGCACAGAATCTGAAGCAGGCTCTAGGCTCTGGGGCTCAAACTCACAGACTATGAGATCATGACTTGAGTCGAGGTTGGACACTTAACCAACTGAGACAGCCAGGCGCCCCAGGATGAAGGTTAAGAGGCACATAGGCATGCTCTTTCTCAACACAAACACACACACACACACACACACACACACGTATGTACACAACCATGTATAAACTAACTTTGTTGTGGTAGTCATTTCACAATATATAGATATAACAAATCACCATGCAATTTTCACAATGTTACAAGCCAAATATATCTCAATAAAGCCAGGAGAAAATATTCTGCATAACTGGCCATCAGCACCACTTCCTCAAATCAGACAATGGTGGGGCTCAACCTTGACTCCTGCATTCGGAAAAAAGACTGAGAGGTTTTATCTGCAGGGGTTTTATTACGTCGTCTCTCTACCAGGCAACAAGAAAGGTACTTTGGCTTTTCCTTTCTCAGCAATGGGATAATTCTGCAATACCATTTTTGGGGGGCACATGGGTAAAGGAGAAGGTCCATAAGGCCCCCAAGTTGTATGCAAAATGTTGTGTCTTTTGTACTTATGGGCATTTTTCTTTTTTTGTTTTTAAATACAATTTTTATTTTATTTTATTCTTGAGAGAGACAGACAGACCATGAGCAGGGGAGGGGCAGGGAGAGAGAAAGAGGGAGACACAGAATCCAAAGCAGGCTCCAGGCTCTGAGCTGTCAGCACAGAGCCGGACGCAGGGCTCGAACTCACGGACCATGAGATCATGACCTGAGCTGAAACTGGTTACTCCACCAACTGAGCCACCCAGGTGCCCCTGGGCATTTTTCTAAAATCTGTGGCGATGAGCAAATTATCAAAGCACTTAAAGACCATTGCTCAATAAATGAGGAAACAGTCTGAGATCTGTTAAATGAGACTTGCAATTACCTCTACTTACAGTAAAGCAGTAACAGCAATTCTGCTTATACGATAAAGCATCAAACCCTCATTCCTCACTAAACACCTGTTATGGAACTGAAAAGAAATGCAAGCTTTCCTGTGTTGCCAGCAAACACCCACACAGCATTCTGTCCTGTTTGCAAATGATTTGCTATTTTACATAAATGTTGACATCAACATTTAAAGAAAAACTGGAAATTTAAATTAAATCTCTGTAATTTCCATAAAGTACTTCTATAGTGAATGTCAAAGCACACCGCTGGGTTTGAGAAAACCATTGAAAGTTTTTTTCCTCCTGATGTCAAGTACATGGTATCTTTTCCACACAAATGCTCCAATTCTCCAAGACACTGACTGAATGTCTTATGATTCAATTATTTTTTTTGATTTTTATTTTATTTTAATTTTTTAACGTTTATTTATTTTTGAGAAACAGAGAGAGAGCACAAGCAGGGGAGGGGGAGAGAGAGAATGAGACACAAAATTTGAAGTAGTCCCAGGCTCCGAGCTGTCAGCACAAAGCCTGATGCAGGGCTCAAACCCACAAACTAGGAGATCATGACCTGAGCCGAAGTCAGACACTTAACTGACTGAGCCACCCAGGTGTCCCTCTTTTTTTTTTATGTTTATTTATTTTTGAGAGACAGAGTGCAAGCAGGGGAGGGGCAGAAGAGTGGGGGAGACGTCGAATCCAAAGCAGGCTCTGAGCTGTCAGCATGGAGCCTGACGCGGGGCTCAAAACCAGGAACCATGAGATCATGACCTGAGCCGAAGTCGGATGCTTAATTGACTGAACCACCCACCCAGACGCCCCGATTCAATTCAGTTCATACACTAACGACCTGGAGTTAGCATCAGACGCCACAGATTTAAGGGCTCAGTCCTGTAAGACTGCCCTCACTTGGAGGCCAGTCAAAAGTACCAGCTCTCAGGTTACTCACACTTCTGCCCAACTTGGCTATAAATCCAGGTTCCCGCCACCCCTACTTAAGGTTGAAAATTTGCTAGAACTCACAGAACTCAGGAAAAGGCTATACTTACTATTATAGTTTGGCATTAAAGACACAAATGAATAGCCAAACACAGCGTACATAGGGCAAGGTCCAGAAGGGTCCTGAGTGCAGAAGCTTCCGTCCCGCTGTACCTGGTGTGCACAATCCTCTTGCACACACAGATGTGTCTGCCAACTTGGAAGCCCCCTAAACCCGTGTTTAGGGACTTTTTAAGGAGATTTCATCATGTGGGCACAACTGATTAAAAAAATCATTGGCCACTGGTGACTGAATTCAACCTCCCCTTATTCCCTACCTAGAGGGGGAAGGGGAGCTGAAAGTTTCAAATTTCTAACCAAGACTTGGTCTTTCCAGTGACGAGTTCCCATCCCGAAGCTATCCAGGGAGTCACCAAGAGTCATAACTCAGGTGTGGTTGAAAGGGGCTCATAATGAATAACAAAAGAAGCTGGTAGCCTCAGGAAATGACAAGGTTTTGGGGAGCTCTGTGCCAAGAACCGGAACAAAGACTATAGGCATACATTTCTGACTTTGCCACACCCATCATAGCAAGAAGAGAAACCAAAGATACAAGAGAAAACATATGATTCAGTTGGTCAGTTAAGTCAGGTAAGAACCATTAGCCCAGCGTTGACTAGCTCTTCTAGGCTCCTTGACAGCAAGGCCTTGTCCATGTTATTCATTGTTTTGTCTCCAACACAACATGGCATTCAGTGCTCAATAAATTTGGTGTGGGTGTTTTCTGTGGTTGTTTGCTTATTTTTCATGCAGGGAATTAGGACAGGGTCATAACTGAAAAATGACCCCTGTTTTACTCGGATAAACATTTCTCAAGTCTGGAACTTGAAACATGCAAAGGTATGGTTCAAACGCACGGGCCTGTTTCCTCTGTGTCATGTGACTGGGTCAGTCCAAACAATTTCCCATGTCCCTTAAGGGTTTTTGTTTCCAATATCTCAGATGCCTGTTAGAACATAACACCAATGGTTCTGATCCTTTTTTCTACCTGGACGCCTGGGTGATATGTACATACACTCGTCAGCAACTTTGACTCAGCTTAGGGGAGGGGAGGACACCCTTGTGTCACATTTTCCCAGTGATTTTGTTACCCACATTTCTACCCCACTGAGAATCAGTAGTATAAACTAGGCAGCCACATCAGCCAGCTACTTATATCACAAAACACGTAAAATGAAGAGTTACCAAGGGACTATTACTTACCTGTTATATTTTTTGTTGAACAGCAAGAATTAATGCAGTCTTCCTGAGTTAATGTATGTATGGGTTCATTGCCTCTAATTCCTTTAGAAAGAGATGACTGGATGTCAATGACAACATCTTCTAGGCTTGTGGTGGGGCAGTTCTGACCGGTGGACAGCCTTAGGGTCAGGAAACAAATCATTACAAAAGTGTAAGTCAAGCTCCATTCTTCCCTACAGAACATTTTAAATTTCAGTTTAGCCTTAGTCTTCCAAGGTCAAGGATAATCCTCTGGTCTGAGTTTGCTTCAAGAAGATTGTACAGATCATGGAATTTCTCTCTAGAACAAAAATAGAAAATCATCACTGAGTTTTGTTTCTTTTAGTAAATGTCACGAAGATACATTTCATTTCCTTCAAGTCAGCGACTCATGATTTATGCAACAGAAGTAAATAAGCATTTTTTAATGTTTCACTTTTAATACATCAAGACAACCTTCATTAAAAACTTGGTAGAGAACTAATTAGCAGAAACACACATACTATCCCGTCAGTGCTTAAAAGCTGCCCAATGTCTACAAGGAAGAGATATAAACAGGAGGCCTGTCCCCAAAGTGCTAGAACACTTCGTCCTCTTGCTTCTCTGAACCAGGAGGGAGAGGACACAAAATCTCTAGACATCCATGAACCACTGATAATAGGCTTGAACAGAGTTTCTTCTCAGTATTAACAACGAGCATTAAAAAAATTTTTTTTTAATGTTTTTATTTTTGAGAGATAGAGACAGCATGAGCAGGGGAGGGACAGAGAGAGAGAGGGAGTCACAGACTGAATCAGGCTCCAGGCTCTGAGCTGGCAGTCAGCACAGAGCCCGACGCGGGGCTCGAACCCACGAACTGCGAGATCATGATCTGAGCCAAAGTCGGACGCTCAACTGACTGAGCCACGCAGGCGCCCCAACAACAAGTATTTTTAAATCACCTACTAGGTGATAGGCAATGTGCTATGAAATATACATATACTATCCCATTTAATCCTTACACTAGGACTGCAGAAAAAAAAAGTTACTATTTTTCACATTTTATAGATGAGGAAACTGAGGCTGCCTTTCTTGTGGCTGCCTCTCCTCAAGTATCAAATCAGAGACAGGTAATTCTAATAATCTAATTCTAAGACTTAGCCGGTCAACAAAAGGAATTCAGTCATTTTCGGAATACAAATTGTTCACTGAATCATAGTGTAGAGCAGAATTACTGCTTCATCAATTTCCTTCTTCTTCTGCCATGAACCCAAACCCTTTGGTAGTCTGGTGAAGCTTAGGGTCTCTTCTGAGAAATAGGTTTTAAATTATAAAATTATAAAATTATAAAATTATATATATATGAGGGGTGCCTAGTGGCTCAGTCAGTTGAGTGTCCAGCTCTTGATTTTGGCTCAGGTCACCATCCCAGGGTAGTGGGATTGAGCCCCGTGTCCAGTTCTGTGCTGAGTGTGCAGCCTGCATAAGATTCTCTCTCTTTCTCTCTCTGCCCCTCTCCTTCTTTGCCCCTTTCCCTGCTCGCATGCTCTCTCTCCCTCTAAAAAGCAAAACAAAACAAAAACAAAACTCCCCTATAAATTCTTTAAAGAAATAAATTAATAAAATAACACACATTTTATAGGTGGTTTTTTTTTTTGATAGGTTGCATTTCATTAAAATTAAAACATTTGCTCTGCTCAAGACACTGTTCAGAGAATATAACGATAAGCCACAGACTGGGAGAAATATTTGCAAACCACGTATCTGATAAAGGACTAGTAGCTAAAATATACAAAGAGCTCTTAGAACACAATCCAATTAAAAATGGGCAAAGCTGGGGCACGTGGGTGGCTCTGTTGGTTAAGTGCCTAACTCTCGGATTTGGTTCAGGTCATGGTCTCACAGTTCCTGGGATCAAGCCCCACCTGGATCTCAAAGGAGATGTATAGATGACAAGTACACATATGAGGAGGTGCTCAACATCATAATCATTAAGGAACTGCAAATTCAAACGACAAGATACCACTACACACCTATTAGAAATGACTAAAATCTAAAAAACTGACAAAAACAAATCCTAAAAAAAAATCTATGTTTAAATGTTTATAGTAACTTCATGTATCATTGCCCAAAACCGGAAACAACCAAGACATCTTTCAATAGGTGAATGGATGGGGCACCTGGGTGGCTCAGTCGGTTGGGTACCTGACATCAGATCAGGTCATGGTCTCACGGTCCATGGGTTCGAGCACCGCGTCAGGCACTGTGCTAACAGTGCTAGCTCAGAGCCTGGAGTCTGCTTCTGATTCTGTATCTCCCTCCTTCTCTCCTGCTCTGTCTCTTTCTCAAGAATGCATAAACATTTAGAAAAAATTTTAATAGGTGAATGGATAAACCAAATGTGGTACATCGTTATAATGGAATATTATTCAGTAGTAAAAAGAAATGAACTATCAAGCCACGGAAGGATATAGAGGAACCATAATTGCATATTGCTAAGTGAAAGAGGCCGGTCGGAAAGATAAGACTTCTTGTCAACTCTATGACATTCTGGAAAAGGCAAAACTACATCAACGGTAAAAATATCAGTGGTTGCCAGGAGGAGGAAGAGAACAACGAATCGGTGGAACGCGGGGTTTCTAGAGTAGTGAAATTGTTCCAAATGGTACTGTAATGGTAGATACACATCTTCACATTTGTCAAGACCGTACAACATAGTGATCCCTAATATTGGGGAGCCTGGCTGGCTCAGTCTGTGGAGCATGGAACTCTTGATCCCTAGGTCGTGAGTTCAAGCACCACATTGGGTGTAGACTACATAATAACAAAATCTTAAAAAAAAAATAGTGATCCCTAATATAAACAAATAGACTTCAAAACAACAAAATAGTAAAAAAAAAAAAAATTGTTAAGAAGAGCATACATTACCCATATACAGTAACCATAGTAACCGCACAAGTCCAATAGCTTCCTAGCTGTTGTGTCCAACTTTCATAACAGTCAAATAATAAGTAACATTTATGTTTCTCTCCTGCCAGTCTCTATGCTAAGCACTTTACATGTATCCTGTCATTTAATCCTTACGGGAATCCTAATGAGATAGATTCACCATCCTTATGAGATAGATCCCATTATTAACCCCATTTTCACTCAAAATAGAAACAATTGTGGGATATCCGTGCTTCCTTATTAACCTCTCGAGTAACAAGCGGTACATCTAATAACTACCATACTTTTGAAGTGCTGTTGAATGCACATGATACTTGAGATCTGTGTAATGAGTAATATGAAACGAAAACACCTGTGATTTCTCCTGTGGCAAATTGCAGCTGGTCTAACTCTACCAAGGCTTTTGATCACATGCCTCTTTGAGGCAATGTTACATCTCAGTTAGCGGCTACTAAAATAATACATTTTTCCGCTGCAGTTCACAGACTTTCAGCGAACGAACTATGGCTTCTCCAGGTTAAGAATCCTGGCACAAGTGACTTTTTTTATGCTGCCACGTTTTGCAAATCTCTTTTCTAGCCCTAAAGAAAACCAGACAGTAGCAAAAGAGGGTAACCAGGCCAATGTCTTACTTTGCATGGATTACGACAGAATCTCTCCTCAAGCGTTTGCAAAGAAACCAGAACTATGAGAGAGGATGGGATAGGGACTGTGAAGTACTGAAGAGTCCATCTCCCTAAAGATACGGAACCACTATTCTTCTTCTAATCATTATTACTTAGGCCTTAAGGGCCCACAGTCCAGTTGATTTGTGTTGAAAGGGTGAAAAAGACACAGGTGCGAGGAAGTTCAGGCGGCACTGAACTTGACAGGCCTTACTACAGTCACTAAAAAGCCCTCGGACAAAACCGCGTCGGAGACTGGAAATCGGTTTCTTTCCCTCCTTTTGAGGACACGCAGGTGGCTTCCTGAGCATTCTTCGGTCTCTCCTGATGACGTGGAGCCAGGGCCGCTTCGCACAGGTGCTGCTGCGCGAGCCTGGAGATCCCTCCTGGGGCCCGCAAGCCCCCGCGCAGCCCCTGCTCGCCCCACTCCGGCCCCGGCGCCCCCCGGGGAGACGGAGGGGCCTCGCCCAGGGTCGGCGGGGGGGGGCGGGGGGGGCGGGCGGTGAGGCCTTTACCTGGTGGCGCCAGACCTGGGGACCCCCGTGTCCCACCCGCTCGAGGGCAGCCCCGGGCGCCCCCGAGGGAGAGCTGCAGGTCCGCGCGAGGGTCCCGGCGACGGCGGCAGGGATGCTCCGCAGCGCCCGGCCGGCCCGCGGGGTGTGTGCCTCCCCAGTTCCTGCTTCCGTTGCGGCGGCAGAAAGTTGGCCGGGGGCGGGGGAGGGGAGGGCACATTCCTGCCCTGCAACCCGGAGCTGCTTCCCGGCCACTGGGAGCGCGGTCCTCGGGTGCCCCTCCCCGCGGCGGCTGCAGGCGCCGGGCCCCCTGCGGCCCCCCCCTACCCGGCCCCCCTGCGGCCCCCCCCACCCGGCCCCCTGCGGGCCCCCCTACCCGGCCCCCCTGCGGCCCTGCGAGGGGCGCGGGCGGGACCGCGGGGGGGGGGGGGGTCCCGCAGAGCCGCACCGGCTCCCGCGCCTTCCCGAGGCCGCAGGACGCGCGACCGCCCCGCGGAAAGTCAGATGGTGCGAATCGTGTGGCCTGACGTCTGCCTCTCCCTCTGGGGGCTGCTCTCGCTCCCCTCTCCCCAGAGGCAACCTCTCAGTGCGGTGTCTCCCCCCAGGAGTTCTCGGTGCTTTCTGTCTGGGGCCTGCCTGTGAGAATCTTCTGCCGGTAATTCCAGGCACGGAAGGTCCTCTGTTACAGTTGGCAGTTCTGGAGTTAACATCACGCGCAAGCCAAGCCTCAACGAAGGCATTTGGATTCTGCCCGAATTTACTGTTTATGTTTATAGGTATACATAATAATGAATATAATGGTGACTGCTGTAGTTTTTTTTTTATGTTTATTTATTTTTGAGAGAGAGACAGTATGAGCAGAAGTGGAGCAGAGAGAGAGGGAGACACAGAATCAGAAGCAGGCTCGAGGCTTCAAGCTGTCAGCACAGAGCCCAACGCGGGGCTCGAACCCACAAACCTATAGATCATGAGCTGAGCGGAAATCGGATGCTCAACCAACTGAGCCACCCAGGCGCCCCCCTGCTATAATTACTAAAATGTATCCCCTCACATTTAGCGAAGTACCTGGTACTTAATAGATACTCAATACATATTTAACTAAAATATATTTGTTCAATGAATAAGTGGGAAAGAATAGGGCATAGGTTGTAGAAGTGTTTCTGAATCAGTGCTTGGTCACCCACACCTCTGTGTACTGCAAACAGATGCAACTTTACCAAACCTCTGATACTTAACTCTCCAAAGGTTTAGAGCTTAGACAACATCTCCAACTGGTGTTTGTGAAGAACTTTCAAACCTAAAGCTCTAAGCCATTGTAATTTATTATGCTGGGTGTGATACAGCCAACAGCGATGACCTGGTTTTAACAGAGAGCTACAGGAGGCGTAGGTTGACTGAGAATCCCTGGGGACAGAGGTTGCGTGAAACTAATTCTACCAGTTGTACCAGATGACCTTGTCTAGAATTACAATAATGTTGCAAATACTTGGCTTTAAAGAGTTATCAAAGGAGGGGTGCTTGGGTGGCTCAGTTGGTTAAGCGCCTGACCTCAGGCCATGATCTCATGGTTTGTGGGTTCAAGCCCCCCATCGGGCTCTGTGCTGACAGCTAGCTCAGAGCCTGGAGCCTGTCTTGGGATTCTGTATCTCCCTCTCTCTCTGACCTGCCCCTGCTCTAGCTGTCTCTCCCTCTCTCTCAAAAATAAATAAAACATTTTTAAAAAATAAAGGGTTATCAAAGGAAACTCCAGAGTGATTTCCCATTGGAGTCATCTTCCTGTTGCAGCAAAAGACTGATGTAAACAATACATTTTATTTCAGCAGATGATATACTTGAGGGTCTTGCTAGGTATAGGTCACATTCTTTGAATCTCCTTTTATAGCACAGTCCCCGCTAGGCACTAATGAGACCTGTCCTTCACTTAGAAGCTTGAGATGTAGGGTTTTAAACAATAACCGAGCTATCGTTGAAGCGACATATTATTTTTTCAGTTATGACAGCGAACGGAGGACATTGATGAAAATAATGATTAAAGAAAACTCTTTCTATTGATATGAACTACATGTTTAAATTAGAAATGATCTCTTTTCATCTCATTGCCTGAAAAGATTCTTGATCCTCTTCTCCTGATACTTAGAAGTCCCATTTATGTGGAGGCAGATATTTTTAAAAAGTATTTTATTCAGAAAACATGGATTAAACACTTGCAGGAGAAATTAAAGACCAATAAGACATTGGATGTACCTTCAAGATGCTTATAGTGGAGAAGACAATCAAATTAATTATTGTGTAAAGAATAAATGTAATGGGGCACCTGGGTGGCTTAGTCGGTTGAGCGTCGGACTTTCGCTTAGGTCTTGATCTCACGGTTCGTGGGTTTGAGCCCCGCGTCGGGCTCTGTGCTGACTGCCAGCTCAGAGCCTGGAGCCTGTTTCAGTCTGTGACTCCCTCTCTCTCTGACCCTCCCCTGCTCACGCTGTCTCTCTCTCTCTCTCCTAGAAATATATAAAACATTAAAAAAGAAAAAGAATAAATGTGGGGCGCCTGGGTGGCTTAGTCGGTTAAGCGTCCGACTTTCGCTTAGGTCATGATCTCGCGGTTCGTGGGTTCGAGCCCCGCGTCGGGCTCTGTGCTGACTGCCAGCTCAGAGCCTGGAGCCTGTTTCAGTCTGTGACTCCCTCTCTCTCTGACCCTCCTCTGCTCACGCTGTCTGTCTCTCTCTCTCCTAGAAATAAAATAAAACATTAAAAAAAAAAAAAAATTTAAAAAAAAAAAAAAAGAAAGAAAAAGAATAAATGTAATGATAGGAGATGCTAACTAAGGAACATATAATCTGGACTTCTGGGAGGAAATTAAAAATTCCATCTTTTTTAAAAAAGTTTAGAGAGAGAGAGAACGTGGGCAGGGGAGAGGCAGAGAGAGAAGGAGAGAATCCCAAGTGGGCTCCACACTCTTAGTGCAGAGCCCAACATGGTGCTCCACCTCACAAACCATGAAATCCCAGCCTGAGCTGAAATCAGTCGGATGCTTAACTGGCTGAACCACCCAGGCGCCCCTCAATCTTTTTTTTTTTTCCAAAGACTTTATATTTTTAGAGCAGGTTTAGGTTCATAGTAAAATTGAGAGGAAGGTTCCCATATACCTCTTGCCCCCACACATGCATAGCCTTCCCCATTATCAACATCCTCCATCAGAGAGGTACATTTCTTACCTGTTGGATCCACACTGACACATCACAAATTACACAAAGTCCACTGTCTACCTATGTTCACTCGTACTGTATTACACTCTATGGATTTGGACAAATGTAGAGTATCATACAAAGTATTTTCCTTTCATTCAGAGTATTTTCCTTGCCCTAACGGCCCTTTGTGCTCAGCCCATTCATCCCTCACACTCTTCACAACCCCTGACAATCACGGGTCTTTTTATTGCCATAGTTTTGCCTTTAACCAATGTCATATAGTCAGAATCATATAGTATGTAGCCTGACAGAATCGGACCTTTAACTTAGTAATAGACATTTAAGTTTCCTCCATGTCCTCTCATGGCTTAATAGCTCATTTCTTTTTTTCTTAATGTTTATTTTAATGTCTAACGTTTTTATTTTTTAATGTTTATCAATGTTTAATATTTATTTTTAATGGTTTATTTAATGTTTATTTAATGTTTAATGTTTGTTTATTTTTGAAAGAGGGAGAAACAGAGCATGAGTAGGAGAGAGGCAGAGAGGGAGGGAGACACAGAATCTGAAATAGGCTCCAGGCTCTGAGCTGTCAGCACAGAGCCGGAGGCAAGGCTCCAACCCATGAGCTGTGAGATGATGACCTGAGCCCTAGCTGGACACTTAACCGACTGAGCCACCCAGGGGCCCCAACAGCTCCTTTCTTTTTAGCATTGAATAATAAACATTCTATTGTTTAGATGTACTAATTTGTTTATCCTTTCACATACTGAAAGGCATCTTGGTTGCTTCCAAGTTTTGGCAATCATGACTAAAACTGCTATAAGCATCCACGTGTAGGTTTTGGGTGGACATAAGTTAACCTTGAAGGGTGAAGTTAAGTTAGCTAGAGGGAGAGAAAAAGGCTGAATATTCCAGGCAGAGACAATGGCATGAGTATTCAGAGAATTTTATCTTGACTGGTACAAAGTTTCCCTGTGTATAGGCAGGAATAGAGAAAAAAGGCTGGGGTCAGAGCAAGAAGGTGTTCATGTGCCAAATTGTAAAGTTTATCCTCAAGCCGTAGGGAGTTACGGAAGGTTTTTATAGGGCATTTGTAGGTCCAGAGAACTTATTAATATTCTAAAAATTGTGTCTGCCAGCCACATGTAGAATGGATTGAAGGAGGTAAAGCCAGAGGCCTACTGTTTTCCAGTATATTGAAGAAGGGAGGAGGCCCTGAACAGGGCGTGGGGATAGAAGATAAATTAAGGAGGGAGGCTCTCCAGACTTGGGACTGGTTGGATGTGATGGTAGTGGTAAACAGATTTATGGCCTAGGAAACTGGATGGAGTGCCAGGCAATATAAAGATATAGGAGGAGCAGTCGGGAATGGATAAAACCATAATGAGTTTCAGAGAATTTGAATCCTGGTTTTATTACTTATTAGCTTAATGGTCAAGAATAACCTTCTTAAAAAAAAATAAACTCTTTAACTCTATGTAAAATCAAGAAAGTGTTGTCTACTTTGCAGGCCGGTCACGCTGGACCAATATTAGGAAAGTACTTTATAAACCTAAAAAGACGGTTCAATTGTTATTTATTGCGTGTGTAAGTCACATAGTTGCTGTCCATGTGGAATTGATTTTAAAGGTGCTAAAAGGCATCACTCCCAAATGTCTTCTACCTCTAAAGCCCCTCCAGCAGAATCCTTGAATTAGAAATGCCCAATTCATTTTCTTGCCAGCAGACTGTAAGCTTCCTAAGGATGGGGACTGGGTTCTTTTGGATCATTTATTCCTAGCCTCTAGCAAGTGCCTGACTCATAATAGGCTACCAATAAAGGCCAAGTAAAGGAATAAAGACATTTTATCTTTCTTTTTTTAGTTTATTTATTTTGAGAGAGAGGGCAGGGACTGGCACAGCGGAGGGCAGAGAGGGAGGGAGAGGGAGCATCCCAATCAGGCACCACGCTGACAGCAGGGCTTAGATCCGCAGACAGTGAGATCGTGACCTGAGTCGAAAT